CTCCCATTTCTAAATATGAATGCAACCAAGCTTTCGATGTAGTGCCCTGAAAGAATTGGTGTTAAATTAGTTCAAACTCGTGTATACTCACGTCTGTACGAAGTGCCTTAATATTTTTGCCACCTTTTCCAATCACTGCTCCAGCGTTCTAAAAAAGAGTTTTCAGAAGTCACACTTTGTCAACAATTCTGAACTTCAGAATAAGAATTATGTATCTACTTTCATACTATCCTGTTGGCAGGGGGTGAAGGAGCGGGAGTGTAGTTGGGTTTGCTTTTGAAAGGTTTGGATCAAATGGAAACAAACTAACAATGATTTTCCATAGGAAAAATACCAACAACTCTAACTTAGAATTCTAAGGGAGAAGCATTTTGTTTTACAACTAATATTATTTTAATTCAAAATTTAAGTCCAGACAATTCTGCCTATGTTAGAACTATCTCACAATTAAGACTACAAGTTTAAAAAAGGCAATTCCATGAACATCAGCAATTTCCCTAATTTAACCTTTTTGTTGTTGTTGTTTTTATGTAATGTTCACAAATTTCACTCTTGTTCTCCAAACGATTCTTGATAATTGTAAGGGTTTCCTTTGGTTTACATCTATTTAAGTCAACTGACTTTCCAGAGGGGTGCATTTGGCAAAAAGCAAAGACAACATTAACAATCACTAACTTTCTAAATGTTTCTAAACAAGCATCAGAAGTAAGCTAGGAGAGCTCAAAGAAGAGTAACTGCAAAACTACATTCTATTTTTTTTTCTTACCAGGTTATTTGAAAGACTACATGCAGATCATACCTGAGGCTAACAGCACACAAACATTTCCACGTAACTTGATTACTGGTCAGAAATGCTGCACGGAGTTCAGATATTTCCCCGTGCCAACACAAAAGACTGAGATGCTTCAGACAACATAAATTATCCTTAACAACTGTAAGCAGCAGAGGAAATTCATATATAGCAAGTTTACAGCAACAATTTACACTAGTGCATGAAGCTATTGCAATCCATAAAGCATTATTCCCACATTTTTTTCTGTTGGTGCATTTGAACAGATTTAGGAAATTTGTCAGTGAAAGTTACTAAGATCCCAATAAGCTCTCTTCTCAGCTCCTACACAATTATCAATCACTGGCTGACCATTCTCTGAACTGCTTCCTTTCTGAAGACTAATGCACAGTCACATATACTCCTTTCCCCCTCCTCCGCTCCAAAATGACAATCCACTCAAACACAAGAAAAACAGCTGTTCATTTCTACTACTTTATCTCTTCAGAATTTGGTCTTCTATAAATAAACCAGCAGATACTCAAGAACTTACCCTTTGGAAAAATTACTGAAGAAAACTCCATCACAATAGTCTTACTACTATCCATGCACACTGAGAAATATTTCTACTTACTTTATATTAAATAAAGCATGTTCTTTCTAAACCTATGTCCCAAATTACACTTTGTACAAGCTGTCTTGTGCAACACTATAAGCAGCAACAGAGGAATAATAAAAAGATAGCATACTTTGCTTTGAAGCAGGATACGTAATTCAACCATCTCGTCTGTATTCCGAGATCTTTTGAAGGCCTGTTCTTCCTCCATATCTTCGGCAGGACGTTTGCCTGTAGAAAGGTCCATAGGGGGGAAATACAAACATTTATTTAACTTTCTAAGCCAAAACAAAATGAAACAAATTCAAAGTTTATCCTCCTCCTCAGACATTATTTCCTATCAGCCCAACACTATTTATTGATGTCCAGTCTCAGTATCCATACCAGGTCAACATGTTTTTACATTACCGGCCTGCATCAGTTACTGCGATCCCTTTTAAAAACCTAAGAATCATGATTTAAATGTCAATGTTACACACTTGTTTGGTGACACATTAGCAAAATGCTGTTCAAAATAATACAGCATCACCTACCCAGTATTTCCTCTTACAATTTACAACTGTGAAAACTTTTCAACAAAGAAGTTCAAAGGTAGCTTGTCCAACACTGAAATAACGGTGAAATAACAGGAAAGCAGCATTTCAAACACTGTTTGGAAAAACTGGCATGAATCAACTCAGCACTACCTCCCTAACTTCCTGCAATGCAAAAATTCTGTTAAGAGACATTACTGATATTTTTACATAGTTGCAACCATTTAGGCAATCCCTAAAACATTCAAAGAAAAATTATGTTTTCATGCTTCAAAAGTCAGTCAGTCAGGGCACAGAAATGGAAAGATTTAATGCAGAATGCAAAAAGGGAGTTGATAAAAGCTTATTTCATACAATTAAAGCATTACAAGATGTTTAGAAACAATGAAACTATAAAAGGCTGATTCAGAAAAAAAAAAAATTCCTTGAATTCCTTGAAAAAATTTACCATTTGTCTCTGTGTTGGTGAAGGTCTCCTCCTGTTGTTCAGTCTCCATCACCTTCTTTTCTTAAGCTGGCAGATAGAACCTGTTGAAGAACAAGAGTTAGAATACCTATTTCATAAGAAGGTGAACTGTGCATTATATTGAAAAGAAAAAGAAAAGACGAATGCCTGCTTCTGGGACTTACCGCTGCTATATATCCTTGTGGAGAAAAACCTCAAGTATTCTGGGCGGGATCAAAATCCAACAGCCTATCACCACCAAAACCTATGAAAAAAAGCACAGATGAGTTGTGACTCGCTTCCGGCTATGATTCTCACTACAGACAGAAAGAGGTCTGACCCAAGTTTTTGCTGTAAAGCTCTTCTTTATAAAGAGAAAATATATGAAGGCCAAAGGCAACACTAAGAGGTGATACTAAACATATCTGTAACCTTACAAATAAACAAGTATAGCCTTAAGTATCATAGTTTCCATAGCATTTGGTCATTTTAAGTAATTACTGTTATAAACTCTGATTTTCAGACACTTAGGAGAATACAATTCCTCTGTTCCTAGTGTTTAATTCTGAACAATTTCAATTAAAAAACAGTAAATTTTGGTAAGTGTTAACACTATTTCTTATAAATCTTGCGTCAACTAACTAGCAGGCATTTTAACATGCCTTATTCTGTTAAGTCCATCTGGAAATACTCGCAAGGCCAGGCAGGAATAATTTTGTAACTTAATTTCTTCCAAAACATAATTTCCACAGATAGCACCACCACACTATCCGCTCGTCTCCCTGGTAACTTATTGTTTAATTTCCAGCAAATGTCTGAGAGTCTGGTTTCCACAAAGGAAAGAAGGGAGGAGAGCCCAACTTTTTAAAGGTAGATCCAGCCAGTTGTTAACTTGTTACAACCGCACTGTAAGGGACAGGTGGCAGCTGTGGAGCAGCTCCTTCCCGGGAGAGGTTGGCCTTTGCCTTGCGTGAGCTAACGAGTCTCAACCAGACATTGCCAAAACGCTATTATGTGGTGAAAGAGATTTTTACAAGGTTCAATCAGCCCATCTGAACACCGGTTATTCCACTTCCGACCATCCCAAGAATTTCAGCACCGCAGGGAAGGGAATGAAATATAGTATCTTGGTTCAGAGCTTAATCTCCCCCGGCCTCTGTACTGATCGCCCACAGCAAATCTCCCCCGTCACGTGTACTTAAGGTGCTCCGCGTTACAGTGCCTGCTCTGTAAATCGAGCCGGTGGCCTTAGTTTGACGAAGGGCACGTTCTTAGGAGCACCGGGAGGACAAAGCGTCCACGAGCGGCCGCAGCCCCGAGAGCAGCGCCGGGAAAGGCAGACGCGGTTCCGTCCCGCTCTCCCCTCGCCGCCCGCTTCCCGGGCAGCCGCCGTTACGTAACCCACAGCCCGAGCCGCGGCTCCCGGCGGCGGCGGCGGCGCGCAGCAGAAATGGCGGCGGCTGCAATGGCGCCCGCCCGCTGCTAGGCGGAGCCGACGGCGGAGGAACCTCCACCATGCGGCCGCGCGGAGATCTCCCACCTCCCGCCCGGGGGAACACAAAGAAGGCGGCCGGCGGCTCTCGCCTCGCCGCCCGGGACGGCCCGGCGGCAAGAGGGGCTCCGCGAGGAGGCGGGCGGCGGCGCGGGACGCGGCGCTCCGTGCCGGCGAGGCCTCCCGGCGCAGGCCGCGGCCGGCAGCGCCCTCCCCCCGCCGCCATAACTGCCGACAACTCGCCCCGGGCGCGGAGTTGCCGAGGGCGGGTGCGGAGAGGAGGCGGCGGCCGCTCCCCCGCCCTCCAGAGCAGCCGCCGCTGCGCCGCCAGCCTCGGCCGCCCCGCTCGTGCGGGGCGCCCCCCGCTCTTCGCATCCTCCCCTCCCCGCCGGGGCCGCCCCGCTCTCCTCCTCCTCCGCACCGCCTCACCGAGGCGCGACCCTCCCGAGTCCCGCGGCCCGCCCGGGCCTTTCGCCTCGCGGCGTCACGGAGGGGCGCGGCGCGGCCCCGCTCCCCCCCGGCGCGGCCCGGCCTCCCCGCGCCCACCTCCCCCAGCCCGGCGGGCACGCTACGCCTCCCCCCCCCCCGCCGCACCTCGCCGGGGGGCCGACGTTACCTGCGGCCGCCGCCGGCCCCCGCGCACGCAGCAGAGAAACGGGCGCAGCCCCCGACGCCGACGCGCACCGCCGCCGCCGCCCGGCGATTGGCCCCGCCGCGCCCCCCCCGCGCGGCCCCGCCGCCGCCGCCGCCCCGTTGGGGGAGAGCGCTGCCCGTCAGCGCTCCGCTCCGCCCTCCGAGCGCGCCACGGCGAGGCCGGCCAGGCCGTTCTCGGGAGGGCGGTGCCCGCCGTCCCGCGCCACCCCGCCGCGCCCCGCCGGGGCTCCTACCTGCCGGGCGGAAAGCCGCCCCGGGAACGGCGGCGGCGGCGGAGACGGCGGGAAACGGCGAAGGAGACCGACGGCACCCCGGTCGCGCGCAAAGAAAATGGCGCCTAAGAAAACCCCGCCTGGCGCCCGCTACCCGGCGCCGAGGGGGCGGGGCTCTCGCGAGGCCTAGAGCGGCGCGCGGATCGCGGCTGTGATTGGCTGCCGCGGCGCGCGGGCTCGGGATAACTCCCCGGCGGGGCTGCGGTAAGTGCGGGGTGTGTCGGAGCTGCCCCGAGCTCTGTTTGCCCCCTTCCCCCCTGCTGGGAGCCCTCGGGCCCGGCACAGGCGGTTGCACGTTGGTGGTGCTGCGGTGGGGCCTTAGGGAGCGTTTGAGGCAGGTGTTCGCTTATGTTGCTGCTGTAGGATATAGCGGCCAAAACCAGGTACTGTGTGCTTTGGGTGCTCTGGGGGCGTAGTAGTTGCGGGCACGGTTGTGCAGCCTCGGTACACGCAACTACTCCCTCAGCTAAGCAGAAGCTGCGGCCTTTTAGCCCACGGTGATCGTCAGGTGCCGACGGCCGTGACGCGTTGCCGCCAAGCCCTGCCCTGAGGCTCGAGATAGCAGAGGTATCGGTCGAGATAGCGGTCGGGCCCGAAGCTCTCAGCTCCAGTGCCACAGGAGCGAGCAGGTCTGTGTTGTGGATGGGGCCTTCTGCTTCTGTTCACCAATGATAGAACGTCATCTCAGGTCAGTTCCTGAAGTAAATTCAACGTTAACAGCGGCACTCAGAAGAAGAAAACAAAAAATAAATAGGAGAGCCATTTTTGTGCGTAGCTCTGGTCGTGAGATTTGTTTTGGTCTGGTCTTTCCACGAACAGCAAGGGGGAAGCAGTTGCGTATTTCTGATTAAATCATCATGAAAGAAGGACTTCCTGAGAAGGGCTGGGTGTTGAAGTCTAAATATTGATCCTCCGTGGGCAAGCTGCATAGGTTGCTGATGCCAGCTGAGGCTTACTTGTTTGAATGTTAGAACTGCATATTTATTTTTAGTATCCGTGGAAGCGTTTCTAGTTGAAAATGCTTCTGTGTTGTCACACTTAGAGTAGCTGGGCTTCTAAATGAGAGCAAATTGCTGTATTGTAGGAGTGAAAGATGTAACAAATTCAGCTGTTGTCAGAAGTGTAGTACGTAGTACTTTAGTACATATTTTGTCTTTCTGGATTTTGTTTTAGCTTGAAAGAAAATGTCTACACCTAATGTCACAGCAAGAGTGGAAACCTGGCTTTCATCTACATGGCACGTTAAAGTTCCTTTGACGTGGCTGGAAGCATGTATTAATTGGATTCAGGAAGAAAATGGTGGTGGCAACTTAAGTCAAGCTCAAATTAACAGGCAGGTGTTTGAGCAATGGCTGCTTACAGACCTAAGAGATTTGGAATATCCGGTTTTGCCTGATGGTATCTTAGATGCCCCCAAAGGAGAGTTGTCTGGCTTTTATTCCCTGCAGATTGACTCGTTGCTTGATGTTAGCCAACCGGCATATTCCCAGTTGCAGAAGATAAGAGGGAAAAGTACTGTAAATGAAGAAGTAACAGCCAATACTCAGGCATTCCAGAAGCCCTGGGAAGCAAAGCCCACCCGAATGCTGATGCTGCAGCTAACTGATGGGATACATCAAATCCAGGGCATGGAGTATCAGCCAGTGCCTGTCCTCCATAGCAGCCTTCCACCTGGAACAAAAATCACTGTGCATGGTAATGTTGCCTATCGTCTTGGAGTCCTTTTGCTTAAACCAGAAAATGTAAAACTGTTGGGTGGTGAGGTGGATGCTCTTCTGGAGGAGTATTCTCAGGAAAGGGTCCTTGCTAGATTACTTGGAGAAGCTGAGAACCCTGATTCTGTTGGACAACCTGGTCATGAACAAATTGTTCCAGGTCCTGTGGATGAATTAGGACAAACTCTAGGCCCTTCAGATGAAGAGCTCTTGGCCAGTCTTGATGAAAATAACGATTTTATTTTAAACAATGAAACACCTTTAGATAGTGGGTACTGCAGTAGGAGCAACAATTTTAGTACAGCCTCAGGTTCACTCACTACACACAATGAAAATACTTTGCAACAGGAATCAGTAAATCTTTTGCCTCATTCAGATGAACAAACTCCACCTCCTATGGAGTATGACGATGCCTTTTTAAATGACTTTCCTTTGGAAGATGACATCCTTCTGGAAGAAGAGATCCAAAGAGAGCTAGAAGAAGTGCCGTCAGTTGCCAGGAATGGAAATGTAAATTTAAGTACTGAGAGAATTCCACATATGTACCAAAGCTCCCGTGGTCCATCTTTAAATGAAACTTCTGGAAAAGATGATGGATATGAAAAGGAGAAGCCTGTAGAAGTTACCAGCGAGCAAAAAAATCTTGGAAGAACAGTATCCACTGGAGATAGAACTAGTACTAGTGGCTTTTTACAGTGTAACAGTGTATCTCAGGTCTGCAGCTCTTCTGGAACTGCCCTTCTGGAAGTTTCTCATGAGGAAAGACAGGATGATTTAGGCCTGGATGAGAGCAGCTGTCAATCCCATCATGCTCCTGACAGCAGGCAGTTGAACAAGGATCCTGTACCTTTCTCAAAAACTGATTCAGAAGCAGATCAGCAGGCCATTCTTTGCAGACCAGAAAATGCATGTGATCTCGATTTAGATTCTCCACCTTTCACATACATTTCCCTTCTCCTTGCAAAAAAGCCAGAAACTGTTACAGTTGTGAAAGTGAAGTGTTTTATTGTAACTCTTACTGGAAATCTCACAAGCAGTAATGGGTCCTGGGGTATAAAAGCTAAAGTTTCCGATGGCTCTGCTTACCTTGAAGTAGATTTTGCTGATGATATTCTAACAAGTTTGATAGGATTTTCAGTGCCTGAAATGCATATGTTGAGAAAAGATCCAGCTTTACAACCAAAGCTTAAGGATGGTTTAGAAAGATGTCAGAAACAATTGATAGATCTCTGTTGTTTGATGACTATAGAGTTTAATCCGTTTCAGTCTAAAGCCACTGTCTTAGTTCTACAGGATACTGATGCAAGACATCTAGAACAACTGAAGAAACGTTTAAGTAAGGAACATGTGCAGAGCTACTGACCTAACAGAAACATTTAAGTTAATATTTCCTCCAAGAGTTGAAAGTTTAACATTTTGAATTTAAGTGGCATGCCTTTTCTTTCAGAGAAAGTTGTAGAAAAATGAGAAGAGAGGATGAATTGATGGGAAAGAATTTAGCACTGTGCTTCTTAAGTGACAGCATTGAAATACATTTTCACATAGTTCTGGCTTTATTTTAAAACGTTCATGTATCCTTCTAATTCAGCAAAATCTTCTGTGTTCTTGACTGGTATTCTGTAGGAGCAGATTTTGTCAGGAAATGAATAATAAAGAACAAACCTGCTCATTCTTACTCTTTCTCAAGGATGAATTCTTACCTGATATTTAAAAGGTATCAGTGGAGGAAAGCAGTTGAATAAATCACGATAGAATTATTGTTTAGGTGTGATCACTTCTGAATATGCCAGCTTGAAAACTTGAGTGGATAGTGTTTGTGCAAGAGCCTGAATAATAGAGAAGTGGAAGATTTTTTTTTCTAAATATTCAGGTGTAGGAAAACCCAAAAAACCTATGTATACATAAATGGGATTAAAAAAAAAACAAACAAAACACTTTTTAAAAATATTTGGCAAATTAAAAAATATATTTTATTAGCAGAAAATAATTATTTTAACAAATATGTTTCTATGTTTTGACATGTTAATCATTGCTAATATTTTTGAACCCAGGCAAACTTATTCATTAGCTCTTACAGTGTTTATTAGTCTAATCTCTCCAAGTATTGTTAAATGCTTGTGCTACAAATCTCTCTTTTTTTTTTTTTTATCTCCTTTGTTTTGTATTTCTGCTTTTAGAGTGCATAAAAGTAAACATTAAACTTTTTGTATAAATTTTGGTGAATGCTGTTCTGTCACCTTCAGAGCAAAATTGCAAGTCTTTTTGAGTGTATAGAGAATGAGAAATATTTTTGTTTGGTTTCCTTTCCTTCTTCCCACTCTTTAACCTTCATTTTGCTGTATGAAATGAGTAGAATTCTGAATTCTTCTAGGAGCAGTGTGATGACAGCAGAAGTTTGTGCACTGAGAACTTGCTGAGAATGTAGAATGGATAGTGAAGAGAGGGATTTTTCATTTGGGTTGTCATTAGTTAAGTTTTTCATAGCCTTTTCTCTTTCTAAACCACGGCTGCTAGAACTTTGGAAGTTGCTCTGAGAGTCTGTCAGTATTGTTTCCCTGCTTTGCCCCCAGTTGAGAGTTTTTCTTCAGGACTCCAAGGGACTTAAAGAAAAGTAGAGATGATTTACTAAATAAGATAAAAAATGGCTGCAGATGGAGAAAGGGAAAGTTTTGTGAGGCAAGGGCCTTTTTATGCCTTTTTGTTTCCAACAACTTAGAAATTTATGAATTCCTGTGTTGCTTTTTACTTCCTCTGCTTCCCTTTCTCTCTCCACTCTGAAGAGAATCTGAGCATACCATAACCCTGTTAGCTGTCTGTTTTTTATATTCTTGTCTGTTGAGAGTTGTGTGTCATTTAGAATTGTAATAGCAAAAATCTAGATTGATATGAATAATCAATTTTTGAAGCAACTGAAGCTCCGGCATTATAATGTGTTTGTTAATAGGGAACTGACCAAGCTTCATCTCAGGCAATTCCCTTAAAATGTAATACAGATGACTAATCTAAGGTAGTTTTATGGAAAACTTTTACATTTATTGAAGTTGGGGGAATTACTTAATTTTATTTGAGAAGTTAACTTTATCATGAAAAAGAAGTCTTTTAAGTTTGAGCGAAACAAACTGTCCACGCATATTCTACCAATGAAATGCAAGAGCAAACCATTCAAAGCACTTAAAGTAAGTGTTATCATTGTCTGAGCTGATCACCTCAAGTCAAACTTTCACTCTTCCTGCATTTGCATTTTTCTTCTGCTGAAAGAAGTTCATATGCGTCCCCCCCTCCCTTGGCCTTCTCCCTGCTGGAAAGAGACAATGTTACTTGCCAGATCTGTTCCCTCTCGCCTCCTGCCCCACACCTAAGTCTTCAGCTTCTGAATATCCTTTTCCTGGAAGGCTTCTGTGCATGTTGTCAAGTGTATGCAACAATATAAATCTCAGTACTGCTGTCCGTTCAGTGCTTCACTGCTCAGCAGTACAGTTCAGTACGATTTTCAGACATGTGTTGATTTCTGATCTGTGTTTAAGAATTAATGACAAATATTATGTTTTGTTTTGTTTTCAGATAAGAAAAGAAATAAAATTTCAGCATACTTAATTAACAGGAACAAAAGAAGCAGTGACATAACTGGTTGTGTGCACCTATAGTTAGTTCGTGCACAATTCACTTTATTGGCGATTGGAACCAACTTTGCTATTTCTGATCACAATGCTTATGTGCCGTGAGTACATATGATGTATGTATGTTGCCTTTGCATGCCAAGCACTGATGCATGTCTGTCTTTCGATAATCAGAATTCTTACAGGTCAGGTAAGCAAACAGGCTGCAACCTCCCATCTGTGTTTGTGATCAAGAAGAGAGGTGTGAATGCACTTTGCTTGGAAGTGGTTCAGAATTCTGTTACAAGCTGATGAAGATGATAGTCAATATAAGTCAAAAGCTGCATGTAGCGTTCTGTCAGAAAGCAGCTCCTGCTCTTTCTGTCCTCTCTTCTTTTCACTCTTCCTTAACTGTGCCCTACTTTTTTTAAGGATATTCACTCTCACAGTAGCATAAAGCAGTAGCTAGACCAAAGGATGTGGCAGGTTTCTAAATAGAATAGGCCTCAAAAACAGTTTGGGGACTAGTCTAATCCTATTGGATACAAGTTTTTCCACGATGATGCATGTCACTGTAACCTGACAATGTGGTCTTGTTGAATGAAGGCAGCATCCCAGGGAAGGAAGAAACAGCCTGTTGTGATAATATCGCCTTGAAGTGCCAGTTAGTAATGGTAAAGCACTTCCGAAAGGATGTGCTTAATGACTCCATCTAAGAGCATTTCAGTGACTTCATGCTGAAAGAATGGTATTTCAGGTCATATCAGTAAGAGAAGTTCTCATAAAAGCTAAGTGGCGAATCGTAACATTTGGTACCAGGCATATTTCTTAGTGTCTTGTTATAGTAATGTCAAGTATTTCTGTTTAGAATAAAATGCCAGTAACGTCAAGTCTTTCTTGGTAGGTAGTTAAGAATGAATTACAGCAGAGTGTTTCTGAGTTATCCTAGTGGGTAGCAAACTTTAATGTATTTACCTGGGAGAAAAGGGCAAAAAGGACTTCAAAATGTAAATAGTACTTCTTATTTCAGATCCAGAATTCTCTGCATTACAGTCCCCGAAGAAATGGAACAGCAGAACAACAACAATGACAGAAATGGGAGGTAGGGTCAGCTTGACACTGCAATTTTGTTAAGTTCCACAGAAAAGGCACAAGTTTCCTACATATCAACTTCTGCTATCCGTGTACAGACTTCTGTATTAGTATGTCTCTACTAAATCCTTTTTCCTTAAGGGTTGTTTTTTTGTTGTTTTTTTTTTTCTTTTTCCCTGCTTACACTGGGTTTTCCAACATGGCAAAGCTGTAGTGTGTTCCTGTCAGAATCTGTCCTGCTTTTGTTTCTTAGACTGAAGAAACTTATCCTCTCCAGGGAGTGATGTGTGCTTCAGTCCCCTGACCACCTTGGCAGCCTACTGCTGGACATGCTCCAGTGTTTTTTTTATGCTACTGAGCTCAAAATAGGACACAGTGCTCCAAATGTGGTCTCACAAAGCACTGAAAACAGGAAGGATTGCTTTCTTGAAGCTGCTTGCTGCCGTCCAGTAAAGCTTGGTATACAATTAGTTACCCTAACTGTAAGGACACTATGCTTCTTATCTGCCTTGTCTTCTGCAGTATGCAGCGCTGCCTTTCTGCAGATCCTGATAATAGAACTGGGGAAGTGTGAGGCAGGAAGCAGACCTTAATCCTCGAGAAACAAGACTTGAAACAAACAAATGAAAACTACTGAGTACCTCAATCGTTCCCATGTACTTTGTCCTCTCTGATTCAGTGGTGAGCTCCCATTTTTCACCATCCCTGAATATACTTATAGAAATGCTGTTTGCTGCCATGCTCATCCTTGTGTACTTTCCTAGTGTCCCTACAGTTTTCCAGAAGTTCCTTCCATGTGCTTCCTTAGTCACACTGAGTTCAGCCAGGGTCTGCCTGCTCAACCCTCTGTGGCACCTGCTTGGTGTTTGGTGCTTTTCTAGGCCTGCTTCAGAGAAGTTGTCCTAGGGAAGCAGCTTGTGGGCCTGCCCCAAGCAGGGGGCAGTCTCTCACTGAATCCAGGTAGATACCTAAGTGAGCTTCAAACTGATTTCCAGAAGCTCAGAATTATAACTCTTTTACCTTGCTCACTACTTGAAGCATTTTAAACCACACAGTATCAGGATCACTCAGCCAGGCCTATCCTCAGCTGTGCCTATCTTGAGGTCTTGTCTATGAGGCTCAGGTCCCTCAGAGCATTGTCTGCCATCCATTCACTGTTCACCTGCATCTTTGTACCTGTATAGCTGATGTAAGTTGTTTAGGGGAAGGTTTTGTATTGTAACACAATTCACCATAATGATGGGTTTAAACTAGCTTTTGTAGTCTGAGTACTGGAAGAATCTACCACTGAACAGCAAGAGAAGTTGCGTAAAAGACAATGGCAATATGCAGTCTCTTGTTTTGTGCTAGATGAATTTTTAGAAAATATAACTTTTCCACTATTTTCAAAGACAGTCAACTGATTTCAACAAAGTTTTTAGAATATGAAAATGGTCAGCCCACAGGCAAATACCCTTTCATCAGTAATACAGCCTGACTGGATAAGCAGCTGGAAAAGATGTTTGTAGGAGGAATGACAGGCCTGAGACTTTTACAGGCAAAGGAATTTCCCTAGTTCCTGAGGAAGTTCTCACAAGTTCATTTGCCAAAGAAAAGAAATCTACTTCAACTTGGTGGCTACTGAAAGCAAGGTAGGAATTTGAGTCTGAGTAGCTGAATGCATCTAATTTTCAGCTCTTGAGCGCCTTGTTGGTAATTGGGGTGGGAATTTGGAAATATTTGGTATTTAGTGCTGTATAAATGAGCATCTATGCCTGCTTCAGAACCACCTAACTCTTTGAAGAAGTTCTGCTTAGAGATTGTGCAGTTAACCCAGCTGGCATGAACCACCCTGACACATTACACGTGTTCTTTTTGTATCTCTTTGGAATTTTGTCCTTAGATGAGAAAAGCCTTCCTTGGGAGAGGGGGAGGAGTGGGGAGGAGGAAGTGGCAGGTTATTATTTCTGCATAAAGGGTCAAGGGGTTTTTATAATGATGTTGATAATTACAGAACAGCAATGAGGCAGTAAATAACAGCCTGATCTTAAAGTACTGGCAGAATCATAGCCTCTTTCACAGAGATCTTTTTAGATTAAAAAAAAAATCCTAAAACATTGAGGTGAAAATATGTACGTATAAGAGAGTCTGTAACAGGAAAGAATGTGATTTATGGTCGTTATGAGGAAATGTTCTACACCAGCAGCACTGAGGAAGAAATAACTGCAATTACAAGCTAAATGTTTGCAGCTGACTTTTCTGCATGTAAGACAATTTCACTTAATATTTACCATTACAGTACAATCATTATTTAACAAATGTATAGTGTGTATAAAGTACAGACAAGAATATTACTAATTGCCTGATTTGTAGTTATTTATTTTACAGACCAGTGCTGCTGACTACCTAAGCACATACTTAAATAATTTACCTCCAGTTAGAAGTGTTAGTGTAGTTACCCTCGCACAGATTCTCACAAGAAAACATTATTAAGTAGAATGAGTAAGTAAAGATCTACTTTTAACTTAAAACATTCAGAAATAGTCCAGTAGATACATGCTGTGAAAAGATGTGCTTTTCCCTTTAACTTACAGATCAATTATTCTTGAGTACAAAAAGTGACAAAAAATACCCTTGAGCTGCCCAAGAGTTGCCAGGATATGTGCAGCAGGAACCTATGTATAAAAATAAAATGAAAGAACAAAAAAATATTTCTTAAAAGTACTTTAAATTGTGCAAGGATGCTGAAGGAAGATTTACTTTTTATTTTAGCAGTCACTAGGAAAGCATGTGTTCAGCTGCAAAGCTAATAGGCATGAACTGTTAAATACTGTAATGTGATCACATTCATTAATGAAGGCAAAGCCAACACAGGAGGAAAGGAGATGTTTTAACTATAGAATGTGTTGCTATTTGTGAAGGGAAATGAGTTTGATATTACATTATATTTTTAATAACTACGTTAGCTTTTATTTATAACCTTATTTTCTAATACAAGCTTTGTAGAGCACAAATCTTATTTAACATAAAGTAAGACAGAAACAGTGTATTTTGCTTTCTCCAGCAAAATACTATATCTACAATTTTTATTGGTACTGGTGATGATAAATGACTAATCACAAGGGAGAACAGAATATGTTCTCAGCAGGTATAGACAACCAGTTAGGCAAATATTACTTTCCAGATTCCATTTTAAACTCCTAATTTAGTTATCGTTCCTCAACTTCTGCCATTTGCAGACAGAACTGGGAGTTAGTTTGATCTCATGATATTTTCAAAGTGGCCTTTATGAAGTTAATGAACAATATATTAGGTCCTGCAAAAATCAAGATGTGAAATAAGTAATACTTAGCTGTGAGTATTCATAATTACTGATACGTAAGCATCAGTCTTCACAGGCAGATGCAAATGTACAAAGTGAAGCATGACTGTTTATTTATCTATTATTATGTTTTTTAAAATATTTTCCTAACTGTAGTTTATTCTTGTGCTGCTTCAACTGTATGGTCTGGACCAAACCCACTTTTTTGTAGGCATGAAATAACTATTATTACTATTTCTTTATGGAAGAAAGTGTTCTTTGACAAAAAATAAAATAAAATCAACACATGGAAATGTGTGGTAATAAAACGTATTAGTCTTTTGGATAGTCTTAAGCTGATTTAAATGCACAGCTCAACATTTTTCATGAATACTCTCTATTCTGTGAAATAATTAGTTTTTAATCTAAAAATCCATTATTATGTTTCCATTTTAATTTATTGCTTTAGATCTTCCTGAGGCAGTAGGTTTGTTCACTTTTTATTCTACTAGGGTTTTCAAGCTTCAGGAAAGCTTGATGGAAGGATGGAAACCAAGTTTTTATTGCAATGGAGATGATAATATTTTGCATTCTAATATTTTGTCAGCTAAGGTTTTGTGTGCTGGAAAGTCGGATGGATGTGTTCCCAAATTCATTTAGGAAGTGTAAGCTCTTGTTAGTAGTAAAAGGGGTTGTGACTGGTGAGAATGTCCGATATTTCAAAGAAAGTGTATTTTAGCAGGACATTTCTTTAATTTCTTTAGTTACATAGAAAACAAGAAGCAAAAGATTTTTAAAAAGCGATATTAGAAGAACATTCTCCTAAGCACTATTTGCTTGTTTTAGTTTAATTTGATATCTGTATTTAAACTACGATTGCTGATCTAGGCAAGGAAGTAATGTTTTTTTACTGGCACAGCATTGAAAATACTGTGTTAGTACATCCATCATAGCAAAATTTGTGTTGTACTTGCTCATGGCAGATATGACTTCAACAAGTGCTCCTAAATATTTTTATAGTGCTTGTAAACTTTGTCTGCAAAAACTTAAAGATATTGTGGGTTTTGTTTTGTACTGAGGGTACTGTCTCACCCAGCATGTTTGAAACAAAAATGTTTGTTCTATCGGAAAGCCTGCAAAAGCAGTCAGCTGTCTGGGGTAACCTGATGCCATTCAGTCATGGAAACTGGATTGGTTTGTTTTCTGTGGGGGATAGTTTCAGTGCAATTGCATTATTTGTGTTATTGTTTCAGACCAACAAAATCAGCAGATACTATTTTTTCTGCATAAAGATGCTTAGGCTGCTAGCATTTGTGCCAGTTTGCAGAACCCTGGTAAATAAATTTCCTTTAAGATTCAGGTGGAATTTAGCTCACTGAAAAAAAAATAAATGAGGAACTGATAATTTGATGTGATATTTCTGCATTTGCTTTAGATTTATTTGAGCCAATACAACTACTAAAAGAAGCTGTTAGACATTTTATCTCCCTGTTTTCATGTTTGTACACCATCCTCTTTTATCCTGGGTTTAAAACAAGGAAAGCTCATTGCAGTGCTGCTGCATTTAAAAACTATACTGATTTGATTCCTGTTGCTGGGTTGGGCATTAGCCTGAATCAGCCCCCTGAGGCACAAGGAAGCAAATGATGCAAGGTTTGGAATAAGCAGGGCAAGGGAGCGCTGCATGGGCTGGTTCAAGGTTTTTGAAACTCTGGCCACAGGCACAATCTTGATGACGATAGCAACAGGCATCCTTGGAACCAGCTGGAGGAAGTAGGATGAAAATATAGGAAGAAGACAAGTAAAGAACACAAGAGAAGGAAGCTAAGCTCTGAACTGAACAGTGAGAGAAAAAGCTTACTGTGTCCCCTGCTTTCTTGAATCAAACAAAGTAGTTTTCTTAGGAGTGGTAAAGAAGAATAAACAAAAGAAGACTGGGGGGCAGGGAGGAGGAGGAAGGGAAATTCTAAGCTCTCCGAGGCACTTAAGAAATAAGTGACTGTAGAATGCCCAGTTTGGCTTCAGGAAAAGCAAAAGAAGAAAATCATTTATATTTATACTCAAAGTAGCCAATGAAGGTATTCAACATAACTGGAAGAAATTGCTTAATTTAAGGATAATTAGTTATCTACATTGTGTTTCCTATTGGGATTTTCTAGTCAAAAGAGAAAGGAAGGCACAGTGGATCACTGTTTTCCCATAAGTATTTCAATGAACTTTAATATTTTAAGATGTAAGAAACTAAAATATGGACTGTGCTTCTGTGAATGCATGCACAGATAATGTCTGCATACTAATGTATTTTCATCTCTCAGAAGTGGCAGCATGTTAACATGTTATTTAAGCAGATGGAGTGGTAGTAGTAGTAACTTCATTTTTAGTGGCAGAATTTGAGAAGGTTAAGAATGCAGATATTTCTCAGCTGAAAGGATTTGTAGACTTTATGCTTTTCTTGTTTGTGTTTTTTGTTGCTTTTTTTTTTCTCGATATAAGATGTGTGTCTCAACAGATGTTGAAATGTATCCCTGCATGCTGTCTTGCCATATTACATGCCATGCAGTAAGTGCAGCACAAACGGTGGCAACTTGTCCATTTCTATGTGGTATAGGACTGTACCTTTCTCATGGTTATTTAGCATCCTAACTTCTGTAAGCTGCATTTGTAAAGAACCAGCTGCTTCTTTTTGGTAGACTCCTCAAAATATTAGATGATCGCACTGAATTTTGTAGCATTATTTACAACTGGAATAGTAGCTGGAGAGAGGGAGAGAAGGATGCTCAGTGCTGAGTGTTCCCCTGTTACATTTTAAATGATGCATTTATCTGCTCTTCATTTTTCTAAGTATCTTCTCCAGCTGTGCAGCTGTAATTCGGCACTACGATGTACTGTCACTTCTGCATTAGTAAATACTTAGGACGTGCTGAGTAATTATGAAATAACCTCATAATGAAATGCAGCAAAGAGTTCTAATTAAATTTTAAAGTTGCTTAACAACAATTCCACTTCAAATGGGAATTTTCCAGCCATGTATCCTAATGAATTCTCAGAATACAATACTATAAATATATAAACAATATGGTAAACACAAGCTGATTTTCCAGGCCTCCAGTGTGTGGAAAACCATTTATAAGAATTTTAATTAATCTTAGTTTTATAAACGAAAATAGAAGAAGCCTGTTTAGGAGAGCAACAAAGGCTTATGTAGTTCAGTGTCCCTGAAAATCTCTTGTAATGCATACTTAGAGTAATGTGACAGGCATATAGCCTTGTTTCTTTCAGCAGTTCCTGGTGTATGGATCCCCTAAGCCTTTGCAATCAATATGCTCTTTGGTGGAAACTAAGAAAATGTAGTAACTGAACTAGAGCCACACTAGAAGAATTTCAGAATATAAAACACTGGCTAAAAAGGTAATTTTTATATAGTAGTTTATATAATAGTTGCTTTCTATTTTCCATTCAGAGACTACTAAGGTTATATTTGAACAAATATTCTGTCCATATAATCTGTGTTCCAAGTTTATTGACATTGCTTTCTCATTCTTCTACTACACAGGCTCTTTTATAAGATGTGATACGTGCACAAGCGCTTGTAGAAGTGCAGCTAATGCCATTATACACTTGTGTTCCTATATTATTGTGTTCCTATATTCCTACATATTATATGTGAACTATATAAATAGTTTATTTTCAGTCTTAGAAAAACTCAGGAAAGAAAATAACTTAATCTATCTAAGCACAAAACCCAACCAATTTAAAATGCTAACTGGAAATTTAAAGGGAGGATTAGATTAATAATGATAATATGAATTTAATACTTATTTGGGAATCATAGCAATGCTGTGTGAAATGGTAAGGACACCATTCTTCTGAAAGGACTTCTGGAGAACTGTTAACTTCAATGATAGTAAACAGGGACCTTTGAAGGAAAACCTTCATTAGATTAAAAAAAAAAAAAAAAAAAAAGAGTGAAATAGTTATTTTGCTAGAATCAAGTATTTCAGTCACATAGCCTTATTGAGAATTTAGTCTTGTCTGATTTCTCATTTTCTTGTTGTGTATATTGTTAATAGAATTTTTTTTCTCCTTTATGTTTTGTTAGCTTGAACCATAAATTCATTAGGATTAATACTTAATCATATCTTCAATGTATCATAATCAATTTATATCTTAATCATGTATTAACTGAAGTGTTTGATGATATTTGTCTTGTTCTCATTTGGAACATCATAGTACAAAACGTACTGATTATTTTTTTTTCCTGTAGTTCCCTCAGTTCCTTCTATACTCTGCTATTTCAGATACAAAAATCAAGTAGAATTACTTCTCAGGTTAGAAAAAGTGTCAGGTTTTTTTTTTCTTTTCTCTACCGTTTATTTACAATCCTGAAAACAACGGAGGCTGCTAATTTTACAAGATGGGGATTATCAGAACGCACTCTCTTCTTGCTCCAGGCTCTTAAATGACAAATGAGAAGATGATGGGAAGACAGTAATGGAAGTAGGGATTTCTACCCCAAGAAATGTGACTGCCATAACTGTACTCTTTACACGTGTCAAAAATATTGAGGCTTTTGTGTGTACTTCCTGATACTCTTGCCTGAAGATTCCTACTCTCAGACCTCCCTCCACAATCACTTTCCTCAATAATCAAGAGTTGTCCTGTTTTGGTAGATGGTGTGACAGAAAGGGACAGGGGGATGAGTGAGGGGTATTGTGCCAATGAGCATGAAGATATGGCAGCTGGAGTTGTATTAGTATTTCAAAATCATCCTTTGAATCACTGGCAGAATAGCACATTTTTTCCATCATCTTCTCAGAAATGATTTAACCATTCCTGCTAAAATATCTCTGTTTCACCTGCTGTGGGAGAAAAGCTTGAATTCTTAATTCAAAATTATCTTGGCAAATTTGATAGTTAATGTAAAAACATTATAAAAGACCAAAAAAATAGCCCCACTGAAAATCTGTAAGAACAAGTATAAGATACTATACTTCAGGTGGAGCAATCAACTGCACAAGTTTGATATAGACAGTAACTGGTTTGGAGAAGAGTGAGATCTCCTGGCTCATAATAAAGACAGTTCACTGAGCAAATTAAAACAAAGAATTAATTCACTATTTCCCATGGGCAGGCAGATGTTCAGTCAATTCTAGGAAAGCAGTTACCTGGGAACATGCCCCTCCTCACTGACAGGGCAGCACAATTAAAAGGAGAGCTTGGTGCTGTTAAGCCCACTGAAAATGTCTG